TTTCTTTCAATGGGAAATTGTTTATTGGGACAAGGGCTGTATAATGAATATAAATGTTAATTTTTATCTGATCCTCACGGACCCCCTGAAACCTATAGTTAATAAGCCCATCATAGTGGTTGATATGCTGCTAAACCAAAACAAACCACCAACATGGTCAACTAGTAAGGTCAGTGCAATGTATTACAGATATACATTATATTATCAGAAAGTAAGAGTGGTAATTATAGTAAATTTAAAATTTATTGATAATTTTCTAACATTTCCTCAGCAAAATATTAGATATTAAACTTAGTAGTTTCAAAATTATATAAAAAGGGGTTTCATGGTATATCCATCAAGTAATTGTTACACTAATCATCTCCTTTCAAAAAAAATTTCTAAACATAATTCTATTGAGATAGTTGAAACCTCTCACCTCACCCATCTCCAGGCTAAAAAATGCTTTTAATGTTTTAAATTAAAAGTAATATCTGTTTCAGAATAGTATATTTTATTTTTTTAAGATTTTTTTTTAATAAAGAAAATTACATTGTATTGACAAATTTGTAAATATGCCTAAAATCAGCCATTTCTAGTGATTAAAAAAATTATTCTAATCAATTTAAATTCATTTTGTTTTGAAATACATCAAAGTATTTAATTGGAAATATTAAATTTAATCTAACTTGAAATTAAAACTAAAAGCTTCAAGTTCAAGAAAGATTTTTCATTTTTTTAAAAAATTAATTTTAAACCTTAGGTATCGCTTTCTCTTTGGAGGTACCTAAAACTTTTTTACCCCCACAGAGAAAAATGGTATGTGTACTGAAAAAAAAAAAAAAAAACTACCACTAGTTTCAGATGATAATTGTTATCTTACTTTAGGACCTTATACTCACGGGCATTTACACAGATTGCAAAGTAGCAGATCAGGTAGAGTCAGAAAAAACTTCAAATAACATATCATCTGATAAAAATAGTTCTGAAATAACCCTGCAAATATAAAGATCTGGAAATTGACATTTAGACTGTGGTTTAACTGGCCTGCACGTAAAATAAAAAAATAAAATCTAATAATTAGTTAGACTTTTTAAAAAAATATTTTTTCTAATTTAGAGTCAATGTTAACCTTGAAGAAGAAAACATTTTTTAAAAATCCCTTTAAGTTTAAACGGGTTTTTCATTTAAACGGCTCTCCATTTTATTTGACAAGTTGAAACTTTCCCTTGTTATCGCAGTATGCATGAGGTCTATAAAAATATGCATCTAAGCCTGGATATGTCAAACAACCTTTAATAAATTTTAATCGCAAATAAAATAAATAATTACTCCTTAATTATTGTCACTGGGGAAAAATTATTGTATTTTCTATGATCGACTCAGTTTAAGTACCAGTAAAGAAAGTTCCTAGACACTTTTTTTGCAGAGATGGAATTAGCCGAAGTTTCTGGAAAGAATTGAGATGGTAAAAGTAAAAGAAAATGACATTGTTATTGGGATATTTAATTTTTAATTTACACTTCCATTCCAAATATCGGCAATTAGTACTCTGGGGCTCAGAGCCGCCTACCTATCGCATTTTTTTTTTTTTTTTAACCAGCCACTTTGGGGTTTAAATTATAGAATGTTGAACTGCTTATCTAGAAGTCCTACGACGAAGAATAATGCGAAACAAGATCGGGACACACACATTAAGGACAAAAAAAAAGAGTGAAACTAAAAATGCCAAGCGATGAGAAGGGTCAACATTTTTTTAAGTCTTGCACTCTCGGGTAATAACTGTATCCATCTCCATTTATTAAATTTTCTAGGAAAAAAAAATACATTCTTTCGGTTCAGATTCGAACCCAACTCATTGAAATTTTCTCGTGAGAGAAAAAAAAAAAAAAAAAAAAAAGAAAATGATAGTTTTTAAATTGTGAAACTAAATTGATAATCGATTCTCTAAAACTTCATTCCAATTAATTCATTCAGTTGTAAAAATTAATTTGAATCTTAGCAAACTAGAAATATGCTTCGTGTTGTAACTCAAAACTGTATTTCTTACCTATTTTGTTTTTAAAAAAGCAATTGCCAAGAAAAAGAACATTTTTAGTTCAACATTATTGATACTTTTTTTCGTAATCAGTTCTTTTTTAAAAACTAATAATGTTTATCCAATACAAGGCCCAAGAGCCACTCAAAGTAGAGGGTTACTGTGTGTAGACTGTAGAGTTACACAAGAAAAGACAAGTGTTAGGACAGGAGTATTGAGTTGAGGTAGGCTTTTAGAAGGAACCAGAAAAGTAAAACCAATCCCAAAGAAGAAATAAAAGATAAACCTCTGCCTGTTTAAAAGACCGGGGAGGAGTGTGATCCGGACGATAAGCAGTCCTGGCAACAAAGCACAACGATCCGTGAAGAATAACAAATACAAAAAGAACATTAGGTTTATTTATTTGCAGCAGAAAATTAATAGAATATATAGATGGAAAGAAAGTTGTTTTAGGTTTAGCTCACTTTTTTTTGCTGTCAATCATGCATTGCAATTTATTCAATCAAATTTAGAGATAAAAAAGAAATTAAAATCCTACCCATTCCAGAGATTTTTTTTCTTCCAACATTAAATTTTTGTGAGGAAAAAAGTGATCCAATTCCGCCCAGCTTATTCCAGCTTTTATTCAAGACTCGAGAATAGTAGTAAAAATAAAATAAAATAGAATAACCTGTGTGTGCCCCATTCGTTCAAGCACACTGTAGCTTGAACGAATGGGGCAGTTTTTTAAGTTTGAAGTGAGAAACAAGAAGCTTTTACTTTTAACGTTTTTTTGACACTTCTAGTAATTTCCTTGGTTAAAAAAAATGTCAAGCAAGATTAAAAAAAAAAAATCTATCGTCAGAATTTCAAACTTATACTTCTTTTTCTTTTATAAACCTTAAAAAAATTAATTTCAGATACTAGTAATTCTACAAAAATACATAGTCATTAATTGCTGACATAAGCACCGAAATAAATTTTCAAGGCAAATATTTGTAAGTACTGTAGTAAAAAAAGAAACAAACTCAATCATTTTTTGGAATTTGTTTTTTTTTTTTTTTTAACAGAAAATAAACAAAAAAAAAGGCCTTTTCCTATTTTTCAGACAAATACTGATAAACAAATAATTTCAGAAAGGGATTGTCAGGAAACAAATGTACATTTCAAAAAAGCTGATTACACTAGGATTCTTGAGTCACAGTATTGAATGAATCTTTAGTGAAATTGATGAATAGAAAATTAAAATCAGTAATATGAGTAAATAGACAAATAAAGGGAAAATTACAGGTATTTTAAAATATATCCAATATAACATGTTTTTATGTGGTTTACAGAGAGTGAAGGAAAAAGCAAGACGGCCAACAATGAAAAAAGTAGAACTATTTTCGCCACGTTTAATAAAAAGATAAAAACAAAGGACAGATAATTTTTAGTTTGATTTCAAGTTTGTAAACTAAAAAAAAAAAAAAAAATACATTGAGAAAACCGTATAAGCAAACAACTAAAATAATAGATAAAAAAAAATGTTTATCACTAAGAAAATCATCAGCAAAAGTAAAATTATATTTAAATATTAAAACAAGATTGGATGACCCTTTTTTTAGTGAAGGAAAACAATACAAAAATTTAATTAAAAAAAATAATATGAAAGAATGAAACAAATCAATTTAATTAAATTACTCTTTTCACTCAGGTTGTTAATGTCAAAATATTATAATTTTCAGTTTTTAAAAGGAAAACTAATAAAGATCTGTATTTAAATATCTGAAATTATTATCAAAATCAAACTTTTATAATTTTATTTATTTTTAAAAAAGATTATTTTTCGTTCAAGTTAAAAAAAAATCAATTTCTTTTTAAAATGTTCTTTCTTTAAAAAATAGTAATTATGGTGTTGTTTGGTTTGTAGTATAGTTTTTCTTATACTGTATCTAATTTACAAATGAATTAAATATTTTATTATTTATAGTTCAAATTTAAAAATCCATTCACTTAAATCGACTACGATTGACAATCCGTTAAGTAAGTCAGAGCTGAAAACAAAAATAAACGTACAAATGATAAACAACAAATACTTCACTTATCATCGGAGAAGAAAATTGTTTATGCGTTCTTCAAAGTCCCATTCTGATGATAACTGTGTTGAGATTTTTAAAATCTTTCCTCGAATTATTGTTTCTTTCTTTAAAAAAATTAAAAATACGCTCCGCTGAAATGACTATAAAAAAAAAAAAATAAAATAAAATAAAAAATCGTGGATGAGACAACGTGACAACCGGAAGTTGCCGTCCCATTTGTTTTTCTCACGTTGAAGAGTTCCAATAATTCTATTTCCGCCGGGTTGCTGTTCCTATGGTAACGGTAGCGTTTTTATTTTCATTTATGGTTGAGTCTGACTTTTTCCAATTTCATCAATGGATTTTATTTCCATTTTTTTTTAATAGTTAATTATGGCGACTTAGATGAAATCTATACTTTTTAATTAACTTTGGCACTGTATTTACGTAAGCCTGGCATCTTAAAAATATTTCGTTTTATTTTACAATGTGACTGACTTGAAATATTTTTATTTTTACATTTTAAAAAAATACAGCAATGTAAACAAAACATTCTTTATTTTTTTTAATTTAGAGAATTTTAACTTGGAAAACTTCATTCATTAGTAAAATTATAAATTTTAATAAGTAATTACTAATTCTAAATAAGTAATTATTTAAAAAAAACTTTATTGTAATTAATTCTAATATACAATTAATTTATGTATTAAATTAATCAGTAAATTAACTTTTTTGCAGATCAACTAAATTATTAATAATCAATATTTAATTCAGTCAACTTACACTGATATTTTAAAATTAATAATCATGAGTATTCATCAAAGATGCAATCACAAAATTTGATCTTTAGTAAAGTACTCTTTCTTTTGCCTTAAATATTTAGTATTTTTTTTTTTCACTTTTAATGAGTCACCCTTTTTGAGATTGACAAGTTTAGAGTCACAATGGCAACTGATGTAGCTCGTGCCTCTCCCTTAAAGAACAGCATTCTTCTAGACTCACTGCAGTTGGTAGAACCAGCTGAAACTCACCCACCTGTACCAAACCATCTCTTGGATACAAGTAAGTAATTTGTCGGAGTTAGCTCCTCATTAGCTCCTTAACCCTTCACCAGGGGTCTCTATCCCCTGGCTATAAATACTCGCTAACTCTTCGCCTCTTCCTCTTTTTTCCCTCAGGCCTTTTGGCCGCCATCTTTAGGTAAATTTTTTTCCTCAGGCTTCAACCTTATACCACCTTGCAGATGTGAACGCTCACAGATACAGCATTTCCCAAATGCTGGGAACATGCTAAGAACAATACACGTATGTACGAACACTCACCACAACACAACACACACATATAATATTCACCACACACACTCTGTCCATGTAATTGTCCATGTAACATGTAACCTTTCTTGTTATTAATACATATATTTGTTTACATATATTTATCGGTCTTGTGTTTGTTTTTCTTTGCCTTCTTTGGACTTAATTAAAGTCCAACTTTCTCATGTAGTTGGACCGGCTAGCAGGAAAATCTTAATTCACATGTACTCACCTACTTATACTTAACACCACCACCGCCACGGTTCCCTGCAAATTATATGATCAATAATTTCTATCTGAATTTCTGGTTTGAGGAGTTGTCATATATTTACACTATTTACATTAGCTTTATTGTCGTTATCACAATCTTTCAGCCGTTGTGTGCTCCAGTATTCATCTGGTGTATGTCGATTTGGGTGACCTACAAGGACTTCTGAACTGAATCCTTTATTTAATCTATAGGAATAGATTGTTCTTGTTCCACTACCCATGTCTAGGGATATCATCTAGTTCTTATTTTTAGTACTAACTCAACGATAACTGAGCAGTACTAAAAATAAGAAGTAGATGTTATAAGAATTAAATCCTATATATATTTTTCAACCAATAAAATCCCATCAGAAGGTTTGCTGGATAAACAATCATTACTAGGCCAAATACTGCCCAAATACTTGGCAGACATAATTGTAGACCTACCACATATTATTTTTGGACCATTTAGAAAATAACAATAATAACTCCTTTCACCATTCCTGCAAATTCGAGAAAATGATTTTCACAAGCCAGTGTGAAATTATTTTCTAACTAATGAAAACCTTGTATTCAAAAAGTTCACATCTCTATGTGAAATTAGATTTTGGATCCCCCTTATGGATATAAAAATAGAAACCCACTGCTTCTTGGGGTTCAAAACAATTTTGGAGGCCAGTTTGATCTACACGTACATACATACACACACACACACACACACAATGGAAAAGATGACAGCCAGCAGCCACTGACTAAGGCTTTATCCGCACACATAATAGAATGGAATAACCAGCAGCTGCAGACTAAGCCTGTCATAAAGTAATTTTATCCACACATCTCACACCACCCTAAGAACACTTAATTATTTTATAAAACAAACTACACTGCAAGGAAAATTGAGCATTTTATTGTTATTGTATATTTCTGAAAAGAATACATAAATATTTTTCAGTTGATATTCTGCTTCTACTTTCTCTCCAGAAAATAAACTTTTGTATGTTTCATTTAAAAGATGTGATGTTGTTGTTGTTAAATGTTTGATATCCCGACACTCAGCAACAAAAATCTGGGTAGACTGATCCTAACTATGTATCTTAGTGGCAGTAAAGCCACTAGTGGCAATAAAATCACTAATGGCAGTAAAGCCATTAAGACACAAGGAGTTACTGACAGCATGTTGACACTTGAACTCAACAATCTTGGTTCTCTCACCCCAGATGGTCCTATGCCAGGTAGGCCAATTTGCAGCAGTTGTTATCCAGGCCTCAGGGTTGATGTCAGTTTGTGTCAGGGATATCTTCAACTAATCCTTGAAGCATCGTTTTGGGCCACTGCATAGCCTCTTGCCACTGGCGAACTCTCCAAACAAAATGATATGTGGGAGTTGATTAGGATGCATTCTGGACATGTGACCCTACTTAGTATTATGATGGATGATATATACCTTACTCTGTGTATTGCCGGTTTTCTTTTTTATTTTAAACATGCTTTCTTAGAAAGAAAACCAAAATGATTATTTATTACTGATTAATAAAGGTATTTATTGCAACTGCAGAGTTTTTTTTAAACCTTTCACCCTAAGAAAAGCAACAATCTCTCTAGAACACAGGGGATTACAGGGAGTGAAAGAGAATGAGAGATCATAGAATTGGGAGGATTGAAGAAAAGACAAAAAAAAAGAACAGTGTTCAAGAAAACAGAACATAACAATTGACATTGCATTTAAATTTGTCAAGATTGTAGTTATCAAGGAAGCAAATAAATGGAAAGGAGTTCCACAGGCGGGAAGTGTGAGAAAAGAAACTGTTAGAGTAGAAGTGACTGCTGCATCTAGGTAGCTCAATAGTAAAGTGGTAAGACCTAGTTGTGAATCTAGTAGCATGCTTAAATTCATGTATTCGGGGCACCAAGAAAATAAAGCTCATCAGAACAGTTGCTATGAAAATATTTGCAGAAAAGATAGAGCCAAGCCATGTCATGTTGGCAAGAATGTGACTGAAGTCGGGATGCCTAGTCAGGATCAATTAAGTTACAGACCCATCTTTTGATTTTGTCGAGAATCTTGAGATGTACAGCAGAAGCATTAGACCAGACATGGCAGCAGTATTCAATGTAGAGGTGAATGGTAGATTTAGAAATGTGCAAAATGGATTCTGACAAGAAAAATTGTCTGCCACAACACAGTTAAACTGACTTTCCTAGCAGCAAACTGAGCAATTGATTCAATATAATCACTTCACTTGATGTCAGTGGAAAATATGAGTCCAAGAAGAATTACTAGAATAAAGTTGATTGGGGAATTAAAACTACTATTATCCTATGTGTATGAGATGTCTCTGAACAAATCCTGATCTAGCATCTCATTTACAGTCGCTCTCTCACAGATGTGCCGTCGCTTCCCTCTGTCTTTTCTACAAATACTTTCATGGTAACTGCTCTGATGAGCTATTTTTGCTAATTCCCAAACTGTTTTAATTTAAACATGCCACTAGGTCAGCATCTCAGTCCCACCCTTTCACTGTCAAAACGGTTAAATGTAGCCATCTCTTTTACTCCAATAGCTTCATGTCTTGCACTTCCCATCTGTGGAACTCTCTTCCTCTTGCTTGCTTCCATGATAGCTATAATCTCCAACTATTCAAATGCAATGTCAATCGACATCTCCAGATGCCTTGATCTATTCCACGTCCTTCTCTTCATCCCTTTCTCTTTCATGCCTCTTTACTCTTGCTCCTATTTTCTGTAACCCCTTGCGTTCTAGTGGCACTCCTGTCTTGCTTGGGGTGAAAAGTTTAAAAAAAAAAAAATCCTGGTTCAGCATTTCAAGTTAAATATCATCTTGAAATATCGTCCTGGATAACCTATTTTGAAAATGCCTGGTGTCTGGTGTGCCTGTATATGTATAGTTGGTCATTTTCTTTTAATTATTTCAAATATTCTTCTACTCTTTATTTTTGGGGCTGGGGTGTTAACCTATCCTATGCGTCACTAGACAATACATCTCTCTTCCTTTCTCAGGGGTTGCAATAGCAACAGAAGAACAGGTAAAATGTGAACAATTTATACATAATTTATAAAACAAATTTTAATAGGTGGTAAGTTGTAAAATATACAAATTAAAAGAAAAATTAAAGGTGTCAGATAACTCTGAACAACTCCTGGTTCAGCATTTCAAGTTAGCCTAATCAAATAGGATTGTAGCAGAGAGAACTGCAATTTTATTGAATGAGGTTGCTGTTGGCCAAATTTTGTAGCAAAAGGTGGTACATTTTAATGGATGCTGTTCTTTAAGAATTGCAACAAAGAGATTGAGAAGTTTCAAAAGATTTGAATTTAACCTGTGGAGGATTTTTATACATATATTTTGATGTAAAAAAACACATAGTTCACAAAAGAAAATTATATTTACATGTATACAGATAGTTAAAAAACACATAACAGATTTTATAACTTTAAATGTTATATTAGTGGATGCCTATATTTGAGAATATTTGTTCTAACAATGGTTTCTCCTGAAAAGGGTTCGAATCCTACTGGAGAGTGCATATTTTTCTTTAATACAATTTCTTGGATATTCAGATGGGTAGGCAAAAATAAATAAATATATTGTTTAATAAATAAATGGAGTATCTACTCAAATATGGGCATCCATTAAAATAATGTTTAAAGTGATAAAAACATTAAATATCTGTAATTATTCTCGATTTATTGTGGCATTGCCCCATGTCCGCCAAGGGACATCTCTTAATGCATGTTAGTTGTATGGAGTAGTATGAAAAGAAAGAACTCTTCTTTCTATCTTCTTTTTCACTTCAATCACAGGATGCTTCACTGACAAGGCATGCTTCATTTCCCCTCTGGGGAGCACAGTCAACTGGCATAAAGCATGTCGCATGGCAAAACCAATTTTTTAGTCTCAAGTGAACCACATGTTACATCATATAGTTGCCCACACATTTGCACCTCCCCCCTTCATACACTACAGCTGATCACATAAATATATTTTTCTTATTTTCTGAGTTATGTCATACATATTTCTGGATATAAATATACATAAAATCCATGTATGTATTGAATTCACTTATTTTGAAAATGACAGATCTGACAAAGTAAAACTGACAACTTCTCTTGAAAAGGATTTCCAATCAGTAGTTAACTGGGGCAAGGAATGGCTTGTAAAATTTAATGCCTCCAAAACAAAACTGCTTTCATTTAATCACCATTGCGAATCTTTTCTGCCTGCTATCAGCATGGCTGATGCTAATCTCCAGGAGAGCAACTCTTTGTACCATCTTGTGCTTGTATTTTCTACTGACATGAAGTGGTACGATTATACTGCATCACTTGCTAGGTCTACTACTAGGAAAGTTAGTTCTTTGTATCGTTGCAGACAATTTTTCTAGTTAGAATCCATCTTGCACATTTGTAAATCAACCATTTGTCCGTGCATTAAATATTGCTGCCATATCTGGTCTGGTGCTCCTACTATATATCTCAAGATCT